ATGCATGGAGAGTGGAATACAAAGACATTGAGGTGTGCCTCTGTAAGAAGGAATGGTTAGTCTGATCGTTTTGTGTCTGTGGAGCCACAATTAACACACAAAAGAAATGTAGGTTAAATGAGGCAGTCTGTGGACACACCAAGACGAAGCATTCAAAGTGAGAGAGAAACACTAAAACGAGCTAAACGATGCGTCTTCAAAGAGAGAAACATATTGTTCTGTTCTAGCACCAGAATAATATGGTGCTAGACCATATCAGCACCATATTTTGCCAGTGATTTCTGGCAAAATAACTAATTCAAAAGCATATCTACGCTTCGTTTTCTTTTTACATCTTCTATCAAATTGTTGCACCTCTCTCTAGCATGTGTTGCAACCCTTCCCATTAATGGGGTGGGTTTTAACAAAGTAGTGGCATGTGTTTTGCCTTAGAATCGAAGTATTATTCAAAGTTCACATTTTGAGCGTTTTTATATTTCCATTTGCTTCTAAAAGCAGCCCAAGCACTGAGAAAATGCTGGAAATAATTTTCTGTCTTTTCGTGTCTGGAAAATGAGCCGTTTCAAAAACCTCCAGAATGTAACGTCAAAATCAGCAGTTACTGCCCGTTACCTAGTAACCCCAGCTGAGTCCAGCCCGTTACCTCGCAACCCAAATGGATGTCTTCAAAGTTGGGCCAGCTAGTTTTACCACTGTACTCGCTGCACAATGGCTGCTGGAAAAGACAGCACCCATTGTGCCATTTGTAATTGACTTACAACCAGAAACTGTGATGCATTCTTGTTGGTTGTGTAGGATGCTCTCCTTCTGCTTTTCAAAGATGTACGGTTGTATAATTAAAAACATAAAAGTGTCATAAACGCATCATAAAGTCAACGGTTGTAAAAAGCTGTAACAAACATTACATTTTGTGAAGTGTGCTCCATTTATTGTGGTTCAAGGGCAACTCTAAAGAGGTGTGTTTTAGTCTTGATCTGAAGGAACTCTGTGTTTCAGCTGTTTTTGCAGTTTTCTGGAAGTTTGTTCCAGATCTGTGGTGCATAGAAGCTGAGTGCTGCTTCTCCATGTTTGGTTCTGGTGATGCAGACCCGACCAGAACCAGAAGACCTGAGAGGTCTGGAAGGTTGATACAACACAGCAGATCTTTAAGCCGTTCAGTGATTCATAAACTCCAGTATTTTAAAGTCTGTTCTCTGAGCTTCATTGAGCCAGTAGAAGGACTATAGTTCTGGGGTGATGTTCTCTATCTTCCTGGTTTTAGTGAAAACATCAACACCAGTGTTTTAGATCTAATTGTTTAGGCAGACCTGAGAAGATAATGTTGCAGTAAAACAAAATAAACACATGGATACGTTTCTCCAGATCTTGCTCGGACATTAGTTCTTTAATCCTGGAAGAGTTCATCAATGCACCAAAATTTCAGACCTGATCTCTAGTTTATACCTTTGCTGATTCCTTATTGTCCCTCTTTAGGTTCAAAGATTATAACTTCAGTGTGATTTTTTATAAAAGTTTCACATCCTTACAGCAACATTTGTCCCAGTAAGAGAGTTAAAGAAAAGAAGCAGGGCTTTTTTTTTTTTTTTTTTACCTCATGCATCCTGCAGAAGTTGTTCATGGGACTGCAAAGCAGAACCAGTCTGAATGCTCTTTATTCTGTGGGTGGAACCAGAGTTTGATCCTTTCTGTCTGAGCAGCCTTGGTGACGGTGTGCAGCATGCCTGCTGCGACTGGTGTGGGTGTTCTGCGGTCTCCTGCGGTCTGGGGGTTTACCAGCACAGAGATGCAGCGTGCCATTCATGCATTAAGAGCTGCTACTGATTTAAGTGTCAGAAGTGATGGAGTGGCTGCCTGTGCTGCCAGTTTCAGCTTGCCACGGCTGGCCAGCTGAGCTGCGGACCGGGCGCGCAGCATTGCTTCCCCTTCCTTCACATGCAAACTGAACTATCACTAAAGCCAACTTATGCAGACGGGCCAGTTTGACTGGATTTAAAAAAAGAAACACCTTCAGAAGATGCATTAAAAACAGCGGTCATAGAGCATGTGGCTCTTAGCACAGAGTCTGTAAGTCAGAGTGGCACATCCAGCAGGCCACCCACCTGGAAGGAGCATCTGAGGAATGCTCTTTACTGGATTGCTTTTCTCATCTCCCTCTCGCTCTTTGCCGTCATCCTCCACAGACTTGCAGAGTTTGGCGCTTTAAATCTTATATTAGATGCAGGAGTGTGTGTGTGTGCAGCCAGGTTGGTGTGTTTTGTTTGCTTGGAGGCAGATTTTCCCCATGAGCTTTGACCACCAGGGTTGTGGCGCTGAGTCAGACGCTGCTGCTTTGACCTTCTTGTTGACAGACAGTTCAGGAAAAAAAAATCACTTTGCTCTGTTGTTTTCTTCAGATTATTTCTCTACTGTTTAAGAAAATGCTAATCTATTGCTAGCACCATCCATGCACAACTTAATTCAACATGTTTTACCGCAAAAACAAGAAACAGAATTGATAAACTGTAAGGGTCACATGAAAAGAAACTAAGATTAAAATTCAAATGTAAAAACTAACTATAATAACCTATAATGTAATCTTTGATTTTTATATGAAGGGTGCAGATAAATTTAATGTTTTCAGTCCTGATTTTTGCACATCTCAGGTCGAAAAAACACAATTTCACAATTGCAGTGTTTCCAACAAATAAGAAATTGGTTTAAAATCAGCTGTGAATAAGTTTGTTCATGCAATAAAGTAAAAATCATCAGTAAAAAACATTGACACTTTTCACACTTTTTTTTATGAAAAGAGTTTTTTTCAAAATTGGAAGCGCGTAAGTGCCTGTGGTGTCACTTTGAAGGTAAAATCTAAACAGTTTGTGCCCAGGATGTGTGGGGTCTGCAGAGATGCTAGCTGTCCTTTTTCAGACACCAGAGTTGCCTGGGTGATTGTTCTTTGCAGCCAACCCACCCAGTGATGGATGAACACAGAACAGACTGAATAATGTCTGTGTTGAGGATGACCAGCAGCTCATTTGATAGGTTGTACTTCTGAAGGAAGTTAAGTTTCTCCTGCACCTTCACCGATATGTAAATACTCAGTAACCAAAATGAAGCAAGAACCGCTGGTGTGCTCACACATAACAAACTACATAAGTCAAACTTTATGTAGCACCTTTCAAGAAAAAATCCCAAAGTGCTTCAGCAAAGGAAAGCAGAGTCTTCTGATCTCAGAGAATGAAATTCACCCTCACCAGACCAGATGATGCTTTTTGATCAAGTTTGACGCTTTGGCAAGCAGCAGATAGCGATTCCGGCAAGTCCAGGCGCTGGCAAGGTTTTGTAAACAAGACTGAACAGGAGACACCCTTTATCCACAGTATCCACCTGTACACATAGTGTAGTGTCGGTACTGTATTTTCAGTTTGCATAAATGTTTGGAGACCCATCTCACACACACCAGGTCAAACAAACTGTAGGTAGAGTCCATGTTTGCCGTGATCAGCTTGTGTGACAGTGAGGATGACATGCTCTAATGCTGATCTAAAGACCTGCTATAATTTCTTCTGATGCCTTCTGCGGCTTCCAGCGCTCCGTGGAGGTGTATGTTTGCTGATGTGGGGCTGAACGAGGGAGTTGCCTGCAAGTGGTGAGTGATAAAGGGTGGAGAACTGAAGGCATTTACTGATGCAAACTGTCATATCTGCTTTCTGATCAGATGTTTGGAAATCTTGAGGTCTTTCCAACCGTGTGAATTAACACTGAAGTGCTTTGCCTCATTTTTTAAAGTAATTCTTGATTTGATTTATTTGTTTCAAGCAGGTTTTTAAATATGAAGATGTAAGCAATCAGTAGGACAGAGAAAACGTGTATACATAACCACGAACAAAATAATTAGTTTACCACCACTTTTCTGCTTGAAAAGGAGGAGGAAGAGGTGAACACTTATTCGCGCAATAATTCAATATAAAACTTTTACAAAAGCTGCAGGTGAGTGTCTGTCTGGTGAGTGTTTGGTTAAAACATGTTTGTTCTTCATTCAGTGAAGTTTCTCAGTGGGTAGAGTAGCCAGAACTCTCTCAAATAAGAGGAGCAATACTTCAAAAATACAGTTACTCAAGTAAACATAAAAATTACACTGTAGTAAAAATACACCTAAGAGTTGGTGCTGCGGTGCCACAGGGGTAAAGATTAACCCATGCATGGAGGCGCTAGTCTGTCACAGGTTTGAATCCCGGCCTCATCACCTTTCATTACCTACTTTCAAATGAAGGCCAGTAAAGTCTTAAAAACAACTACACCTAAAAGTAACTGTTCAAAAAGTTACTCTAGTTAATTTAACTACTTAGTACGCAACTCTGGATGAATGTTGAATCACATGGCAAATATCCATGTGATGAGATTGTTAGTTATCCAAAAAAAGCATATAAAAAACAAAATCTACCAGTAATTTAACATTATGTGATTAGTGATCTGGAGTTCATTAACTAACAGATCGGTAAGAAATTGTCCATTAATTATTTCCAGCTCATTTATTATGTAAATTACATTTTTTAAATTGTTGTATTTATTCATAGATCAACCAATAACTGATGGTTAAATCACCACTAACTACAATAGTAAATATGTGTTTTCCAGGCACATAGTAATATTTTATAGCAGAATCAAGTAACTGTTACTTTTAGTTGTTATAAAAATGTTGTACATATCAAAAGTAACTTTGTAGTTGACTGAAATTGGTCTCTCTCTTTAAGAAGCTCCTACTCTTTTCAACACTCCACCTTCAGCAAGTCATGACAATACTCCATCATGATGCCGTTTACAACCGAGTACGATAAGCTCTGCAGATGTGCAGTGTTTGCTGATAGCTGATTCTTTTTTATGCAAAATTTTATTTTTCTGATTTTATCAAGTCTTAACTCCTGTCAAAGAATCCCTTACTGATTACCATCTTAGCATTTTCTCCAGATAAAAATAAAGACTACAGTCTTAGGTCCACATATGACTGGAGAGACGTTAGGGAATAACCATTTCTTGGTATTTATTCGAATAAATTACATTGACTCATCACATTTCTTATCTTTACATCAAGCGTACAGTCATAGAATCCAGTGCAAGAACAGAACAAAAACACAAACAAAACACGAAAATATTTCAAAGACAATCATGTGCAGCACAGAAAACCCCACCCGCCTCACTCTCAACTTGTAACATCACTTCTGCGTTATATACTGTATATATATACACACATCTATACTGTTTGTGAATACTTTTGACACAGTTACAAAAATAAAATACGTTACTGAAGATGCGTGACTATACACACAAGGTGAAAACAAAACACAAAAAAAGCTGTACAGTCCTCATTGAGGGCAAAGATACACAGAAATCTTTAAAAAAAGTGAAAGAAGGAAAGAAGAATTTAGCTTAAAAAATGAATAATACACAACCTCTTCAAACTGCAGCACTATTTTTCACCAGCCAACAAAAAATTGTGCTTCCCTTTGACATAAAAGTAACACTTTTTATATATAGTTGATTTTGCATCATTTATTGTAGCGCTGCTGAATGTAGTAAACTGATCCCTCCATTATTGTTTTTAAGCTAAACACTGTCAGAAACGGTGCTCATTAGCAGCAGAGGTTCTCTTTACTTGTTTCTGTGCAGAACATGAGCTATATGCAAACCCAAATACACACACTTCCCCCTAAAATTACATGCATCAACATTAATACGCTGAAAACATCTGCAGAAATTTAATGCATCGTCAACGTAGAAGAGTAGAAAGCCTTAGAGATGATGTGTGCACCGCTGCGTCAAGCTGATGAAAACAAAGAACCGTGACTTTTTAAATCTAACAAACGTTGCGCTCTGAGATATATATGGGAAAATAACACTTTTATTATTATCACTTCAATAAATATAAATTAATTCTCAGTCTACTCCTCTATTTGCACATTATCTTGTGCTCCTGGAAATATTCACATTTAGTCTCCTCTTAGTGTTTTCTACAAGTAAACTGGAAGGTAATTATTGGACGAATAGGCAAAACGACGCCTGCGACTGCAGAATGAACTATTGCTCCAAAGAGCAGTTAAATAATGATAGTTTGGAGTTTTTAAAGTGAGGTTTTGCTAGCAGTATTGAGCGGTCAGTATTTTAACTTCAGATTAGAGTGATGAGCACGTCAGAGAGGATTTCTGCCATCTTAAAAAACACCCAGATTCTGAAATTTAATTGATGCAAACTTCATTTCATAAATCTTAAACTGTCGTCACTTCCACATTGAATGGTTGTTTAAACCATCTATTATGTATAATCTGCAGGTTCATTTTTATCATTTCCAACCAAACGGTTCTTAAAAAAGTAATTTGGTGTGAAAGAAAAAGGGAATTAATGAATTGCTTGCAGCGAACACTAAACTGCAAAAAGAAAACAGGCAATTTAACTTAAAAAAAATTGAGTAAATTTGTTTAATCAAATTAAGTTTATCCAAGCAAATATATTAAGTTTACTAAATTATCATGTAAAACAAAGGTAAGTAAAGTAAGATGAAGTAAAATTAGCTCAATTTTATTTAAGTTGATGTTCCTTTCTCTTTTTTTTCCAGTGTAGTTTGATTTTTATGCTAATGTTGGAGCTTGACTCGGTGTGTTCTTTTGGACTGTTAAAGGTGTTTGTGAGGGTTGTGCTGTGGTGGGGTTAAGCACAACCCACATATGGAGGCCTTAGTCCTCAACGCGGCTGTCGCAGGTTCAATTCCCGGCCTGGCAACCTTTGCCACACGTCTTCCCCTTTTCTCATTACATTACACACTTTCCTGTCAATGAACTATCAAATAAAGGCCAGTAAAACCTTTAAAAAAATAAAGGTGTTTGTGAAAACAAACGTCGCAAAACTATTTAACCGCACATTGACAGTTCAACTTCAGTTCAACCATTCTAGGCCCTGAAAGCTCTGATCATAATTATTTGTTTCTCTAATGATAAACCAACATGAAGCATAGCATAAGCTAATGATAATGTGCTAAATTCAACCATATTGAGACAGATATTGACACAACATGTTTTACAACATAGCATATCACCTTCAGCAGGGTAAGGTTGTCATTACACACATACCTGTGCGGCTGTGCTTCAGGAAGTGTTTCTTTGGAAGAGACCTGTCGCTCATGTTTCAGTTTTGTTGTTGAGTTTTGCTAAGTCTTGCTGATTTAGCCTAATTTACATAGGACAAAAGTAGATTTCAAACTGTACTGTACAGTGATGCATTCTGGGTACAGAATAAACATTTGCTGCACTGCATAACAGAGAAGAGGAAACAGAACAGTCTTCTCCTACTTCAGAATAAGAGCAGGAATATAAACATCTAACTACCTGAATAATTCTTAAATTTGAAATCCAAATCTTCAACACAGATGCCAAACTTTACTCAACTGGGAGTTTATAAAACAGCATAGTAAATTATCATTTTAGAATTGATCTGGAAAAGTTAATTTAGGGGCAGTGAAGTCAGCTAAATGCTTTCTAAGTTAGCAAAAGTGCTAAAGCGCTAAGCAAAATATGAGTTGCTCCGTAGAATTGTTTCCTTCCTATTCTGCTGAGAAGGAGTTTAGAAGTAGTGTTAAGACAACACAAATTTACAATAAAATCCTAGTAACCCTGTCAGCTATAATCTCCAGCAGGAATTAATCTGGTTCTCCAAACTGTCAAATAAGATACTGACTGCCAATAACAACTCTACAGAACCCCACAATAAAAATCCAACTTTCACTTTAAGACTTTTAAGGTATTGAGTCACAATACATTTCTACTGGGACATATATTTAAGGACTTAATGCTTCAACCATATATTTTGTGGATTACTGAGAAAATGAGAAACCATAAAAGATGTTTATGTTATGACTCCTTTAAGAGGTAAAAACCTTCACCATGTTGCATCAAACATGCAGACGTTTGTCCTTCCACAATGCTTTGCTGCGTAAAAATTAAAGGACAGTCTGACAACCATGTCTGTAATTTTGGCGAAAACTGATCTGAGTCAAATCATTCTTTGCATGAATATCTTAGGAAAATGACTGAAAATGTCAGGGAGTGACCACTATTAAAAGGAGGAAAATTTAACACAAAACCTATCACATGATTTTTGTTGAAATGATTTGAGCTTCATGCTGAACAAACAGAAAGAATGTTGACTCGTTTGTCTTGTCTGCTGAACGTGAGAGAAAAGCTTCTACCTTCTAAAATACAGGGACTGAGAAAAAGCGTGAATCAGTAAAGCTGTTCTAATAAACTAATAATGGGCTGACTACAACAGAGACAAAATGCAAAAATGACTATAGAAGCTTGAAAGTACCTTAAGTGAGACAGAGAAGAAGTTACGTCAATGCTGGGGGGTTTTTTCCCCCACACCGATTTCAGTAAAAGTTTCCACACATACTTAGTGCATCCTTGCACTTTGGTCAATCTTCTTCACATCTATTTATTTTGTGTCATTGTTTTTTGACGCCATAACGGAAAAAGTGAAAGTTGTGTTAGTAGGAATGTTTGGGAAAAGGTTAGTGGAAACACTGGAACTGGAGGCCGGGATTCATTGCAGACACAGTTGGTTAGTCTTGACGTCTTACTGGGGTAGCGGCACCAAGATATCCACGTAGTTGATGGGGAAAAAGCCCGAGTTGCCTTGCAGCATTCCCTCGTACCAATTCTCGTCGATCTTATTGGTCAGGGTGATGATGTCGCCCTCTTTGAAACCTAGCTCACCTTCGTTCTCAGGGTCGAAGTCGTACAAAGCGCGGCAGCAGGGCTGGTCCAACGGGGCTGGAAGGGAAAAACGAAAGATCAGAAAAGGCTCAAAGAGATTAAAGAACTTCATATGAAGATCACATTAAAGACTCACCTGGAGACCTGGCTGTAAGAGAGAAAAAGAGGAAGAAACACAGCATATGTAATACTTGAGAAATTATGATCAGACTCACAGATTTTGAATCAGAACCTCAACATTTTGGGAAATGCACTTCTAGAGTTTCAATGAGAAGATGCTCCCACTTCTCTCTTCACTACAGTGAGTTGGCTAATAAAAACTGTGACTTTACTAAGCTATGGGAGAGGATTAGCAACCAAAAGAGACTTTAACAGAGTTGGTAAACATCTCAAATGAAAAGCAAAGAAAAGCTTTGAAAGACCCTCAGAAACCCAGGAAATCTGGAAACCTTCAATGCGTTTTTAAAAACAAATTAGGGCGGCTTGGAAGTCTTTCAACCAACCAAGTAGACTCTGCTGGGTTGATACAGTGTCCTGTATTCTTAAACTTTTTCATATTTTGCAACGTTACTACCACAAACACAACCTGTTTTATTCAGAGTTGATGTCAAACTAACACTCGGTGCTGCATGATGCTGAACTGGAAGAAAAATGAATGATTTTTACAAATTTTGTAGCCCAAAAAAGTGAAGTGTGGAATCTGTTTTTTTTAATTACCCCCTTTTACGCCGATTTCAAGGTCATTGAAAAAGAATACCACAAGGTTCATCCGTCGGTCCTTTGCTGTCTTCATTAATAACCTTCCATACGTCCATTTTGTCTGTCAAATTCATTTATTTGCACGATGATACTGTAATTTACTCCTGCAGTTTAGACATCTATTGAATTCAATATTCATTAAAAGCTGGTTTTATTCTAGTCCACAAGGGGTTTTCTGCAAATAAAGGTTTTCTGAATAAGAATAAATCACATTCCATGTTGTTCTTTTACCAAACATTAGAGAACAGCCAGCATCCTGAACAAGGATCCAGAAAGATCACGAAGAAAGTCCTGGGGCAGTATTATGATTTCCAGGTACATAGTGCCACTTTATAGCACACTCTAGTAACCATGTAACCTTCAGTTATAAAACTGCTCTATATACCAAATATAACTTAAGAACTTTGACTTTGTAATTTAACGCCTTGAAATTTGGCCTTTGTCTCTTTAAGAAACTCCTCTTCTTTCAGGTTTGTTTTTGACACACAATAACAAAGTAAAGCTCAGAGAAGTCAACTTTACATAACACTGCCCCTTTAAAGCAGGGTTGTGTTAAAAAAAATATATCCTAAACTTTGAACAAACCTATAAAGTCAAGCCACACTTTTCAGATTGTTATCAGGAATATTTAAAAACTCTGCATCCTTGTAATTCTGCTTCACTATTTTGATCTATTCTGTGTTTGTCTATCACGCAAAATGTTCTTGAAAATTTTCTGGTTATATCATGACTGAAAGTGGAAAAGTTCAAGAACTTGTTCAAGCACCGTTTCATGCCAGTGAGTCATTTCTTGGCTCTAAGGGGAAAAACTTTCTGGCTGCATGCAAATAAATGCGGGAGTTGCATCATTTCATTTAACTCAGAGGAAATAAGCACATTTCCCAAAGATTTCAGTTACAAATAAACAATAAAACAAGGATTGGTGAGGAAAGAAGGTTCAGAAAGAAACTGCACTGCAAAAAGTAAACAAAACGAAACGAAAAATTTATCCTCCAAAGACACAAAGAAGAAAAAATGAAGAGTGATGGAGAAACTTTCCATCCCTTCCCAAGTCACTCTTTCTCACCTGGAGATCTTGCTGCAAAGAGGAAAGGAGAAAATATTTTTAAGCAATCAAACTTTTAGCTCGAAGAAATGATGAACTGATGGAAAAAGACGTAGAGATGATACGTTTAACGTGACAAGAACGTGGGGCGAAACTGAGGCCGGACAGCAAACTGACGGAGAAGTGGGAAAATAAAGAAAAGGGATGAAATCAGAAAACCGTCGACATGGAAACAGAAACACCAAATGCTCGTCTGCTGGTGAAAATGTTGTGGTCTTTATCAATCGGGTTTCCTTTTGCAGGACGAGCAGACGGCACCTGATTTTCTGTTGTTGGTTCCAAACATTTAAGAGCAACAACTAGAAAACTGTCTCACCTGGAGACCTGGCTGCAACGGGGGAAAGAGGAGAAACAGCACGAGGGAGTAAAGGGGTTCAGGGAATGGAGGAGGCAGACGCACTGATGAGTTTTCAGTGTAAATGGAAGAAATGTTGAGAAAATGAACTGATTAGAACAGAGATGTGGGAACAAGTTTGACCTGGCTCACCTGGAGACCTGGCACCTGCAGGAAAAACAGAATCGTAAAGGAAAAGAGAAAATGAGGAGTTTGATAAATGCTGCAGAAATAAAAAAGGTACTAATTTAAGTTTCTAATATATTTAATTGGTTTTATGTAGAATGGAGACTGTTTTACGTCTACTTGTTGGATTCATTTTTTTACTTGGGACTTGAACAAAAAATGTTAAAGTCCCAAGTTTTCAAAAATAAACTTGAATATTTCCAAAAATTAAAACTAGAATGTTGGAGAAATGTTGCCTCTTAGTCAGTTTGCTATCTGCACAAACAATCCAGTGCAACATTTGCTAGAGGAAAAATAAGAAGAAATATTTTGATGCTAGCTTCTATTAGCCACAGCTGGAAGTAGATAAGACTTTTTTACTTTTTTCTCTCACTGCCTTACTAAACCTTTGCAGTTTTAGGTTTGCTAAATGCCAAAAGAAAGAGAAAGAGGCTTTAACATTAAAATACACCCAGTGATTTGTCTCCAATTAAATCAAATGTTTTAAATTATAAGCCTATGCAGCTCTGACATCATCACCTGGGCTCCCATGCGGCTTAAAGATGTCATAATTTTTGCATTTAGCAGACAAAAACAATTTTGGTGATTCTAATTATGGTGATAGTCAAATGCAAACACGCAGAAACTGGCAAAACAAGCTGCAAACACATGAATGACGCAAATCCCAAGATATATAAATGCACAAAATTAAAACAAATGCAAACAAAAAAGGCTGTAACCGCAGACAAAGTGCTGCAATTGCAGGAAAAAGAAGCAAAAAGGAAAAACAGCAGCCACAACAGATGCTTCAAACTCGCTACAGAAAACAGAAGTGCTCCAGACCACTAGGGGGAGCCAATCACCAAATCATATGGGACCAGACAATCAGTAAAGATGGGATGTGACATCATTTAATAGGATTTCCAGAGGAAAGGAAAGGTGTGTTATACTTCCTATCTTTTACAGTGTTAAACAACAACAGCAGCATATTTACGTAGGTAATGTTCCCTACTCCAGACTCCCCCTAGTGGACTGGAGGATTTCCAACTTTGGATTTTGTTTAGCAAATTTTCAACATTTCATATTTGCTGTTTCTCTTAGCATTGCCATAATTTTGCCTTTTGCTATTTTCTGTGTTTGCAGTTTTTCATTTGATTGCAGCAGTTTTTATTTGAGTTTTTCTGTTGGATTAGTTTGTGTGTGTGTGTGTGTGTGTGTGTGTGTGTGTGTGTGTGTGTGTGTGTGTGTGTGTGTTTTGGAGTTTGCATCATTCACGTGTTTGCTGCTCCTCTCACCCTTTACTCCATGTTTGCATCTGTTAGTGATATTTTTATACACTATGTAAATATATTTTTGACTATATGTTATAACTGGAATGTTACTATATTGTTTGTAAAACTAGTAAATCTAAATTAAAAGTCAATATCTTACAATTATACAAAAGATGGAACCAGAAATAATTTAGTTTATTTTTTTCTCATTTGTTTTTTATTTACCAATAATGGAAAGAGGGAAACAAAATATATTATTTTTACTTATTAAAAACCCTAAAAGGAGGTGAGAGATACACTGCAAAAACACAAAATCTTCAAAAATATTTTTGGTCTAGTTTCTACTGCAAATATCTCACTTAACTTTACAGCAAGTTATAGCAGCTTTTTTTTAAGTCAATAATTTCTTAATATTGATCAAAAAGCTCTAGTTCTATAGCATGGGAGAAATATGTTGTTATAAGTGAAAAAATCTGCCAGCATAACTAGAACTTTTTCATCAATATTAAAGAAATATTGACTTAAAACAACCTGCTATATTTTGCAGAGACAGTACTTATATGGTAGCTTTTCTTATTTCAAGTGTTCTGAGATATTTACAGTAGAAACTGGACCAAAATTATTTGGTAAGATTTTGTGGTTTTGCATTGACTTGTTTTGACTTGAAAATTAATAATACAAATATTTTTAAAAGAGTTCTGAAAGACTGGAAGAAAATTGACAATGAAGAAGTAAAAGTCGAGAAATGTTCCTTGACGTTGAATGAGGATTATGTGTCTCCTGGCGGCTGGCAGAGCCTCACCTGGAGAGCGAGCGCCGTGGATCCCTCCGTTGTGGTTCTCACTGATGCTGAAGTCCAGAGACGTACGAGGCTTCGGTACGAACTCTTTCCTCGGTTTGTTGGAGGTATCTCTTACCCTGGCAGAAAACAAAACGTTTGGTTTCAGCAGGTTGCGGCTCAAACGTTTAACGTCCGTCGTTCTTTAGTGTTGGTTTCTGTTAGACAGGGTGAAACTCTGAGGCGCTGGTACTGACCGTTCGTCGATCTTGCTGGAGAGCTGTGTGAGGATCTCAGCGGACCGGGTGTGGTACTGCAGCTGAGCATGGACCAGCGCCGCCAGCTGGCTCACCTGTTCGATCTGATGGAGAAACCAACATAGATGCTCAGTAAATGCTCACTGAATATTTTTGTTTATTAAAATTGGAATAATGTTAGATTAAATTAGATGCTTTCAGCACAGAAGTATTACTAATATAGCTGCAAAGAAACAGACTGAGATGCAGCAGATAAAAACCAATTGACTTTAGATTCGGTCATTTAAACTCAACCCAGATTCCACTGAATCGCTGTTGGTGGTGGTGATGTTCTCAGCAGGACCAGGGGCCCCAATCAGATTCTGCCCAGGGCCCCGTAGCACTTTGGGCCGGCCGTGGATGTGTGAGACTTACGTCACTCTCCAGCAGGTTGAACATGCTCTGCTCTGCGACTTCCTTGGAGTCGTCGAACTTCTCCAGCGCCGCTTTGAGCTCGTCCTCCGTCACTTTGGCCTGGCGCTTCTTCTTGTAGTCAAAGTCCAGACGGCGACCTTCCAGCTTCTTCAGGTGATGCTGCCAAGGTCAAACTGACAGTGAGCAGACAGACTCCAGTCCAACTCGAGCTGCTGCTGCTGCTGCGGTGAATAAAACACTCAACCTGGATCTCTTTGAGGTCTTTTTCGTGAAGGTTCTGCATCGGGTCGATGAAGTTCTGCTTCACCTCCATGTCCAGAGCGTCTTTGACTTCACCCAGCTCACGCATGGCCTCTCCGACGTCGATCAGAACCAGACCTGCAGCCACAAACGTCAGGTTTAAAACCAGCTTTCATTTTCAGAGGAGTGGTTCTGTGTTTTTTAGCTTCGAGGCCCACAGCCTCACCAAAGTTGGAGTCCTCTCCGAGCTCCCGGCCGAACCGCTGCATGGACTCTCCCAGGATGGTCTCGGTCTGCGTGTAGCCCGGCCCCTTCTCCTGCCCCCGCATGCGGGACATGGAGCTCATCATGCTCATCTTGGCTCTGGTCGCTGCACAACGACAAAACGCAATAAAACAGAGGAAACCCAAATACCGTGGGCTGTTTGAACAACTGTTAGCTGACGTTTTTTAAACTTTTGAAATATTTGACGTTCCATTGGATCAGTCGGCAACTAAAAAATAGATGCTGTAAATAAATTGACAAACAGGGCTTGATTAGCATGTTTACTACACTGCCACTGCTGCTTTTGTAATATAAAACAAGAATATTTTCAAATATCAGCGCATATGAATCGACTTGTCGCAATAATGTTACTTAAAAACAACAATATTAAAGTTTACCACAATAACTATTGGGGCAATTTATTGTCCAGCAAAATTAGTTATTATGGCATTATTAATTATGAATAAAATTGGCCCTCGTTGATATATTTCCTAATTTTAAGCTAAAATGTCACACATAATATAATAAAAACAGATAATAAGTTTATATTAAAATATATTAGTGGTGGGATTCAACTAAAATTTTTATCCTCAATGAAATGATAAAAACTGCAAGTTTATTTCTGTTTTATATTTAATATTTCTGAATGTATTTTCACTGAGGCCATTTGTAAAACTCATGTTTTGTAAAAGTTTAGATTTAATGATGTTCCTAAGTACAAAGCATGATTTATTAAACAAATATGTGAAAAGAATAAAATATGAGCAACTTTTTCTAAGGCTTTACTCTTCTCACTTCATGTTTCTTGTTTAGGTAATTTTAAAAAATATTCCTAAAAACTAACAATTTACTGTAACTATAGCTAATTATTAATAATTTATAAAAATTAAACCAATAAATATTTTTTAAATGTTCCAGAACAGAAATACTTTGTGTTACAGACAAAAAAAAAATTATATCTTGGAAAAATAAACTTTTCAGAGTTAACCTCCTGAACGGAGCCGGGTCTAAAGTTTTGGACTGGAGCCTCCATTTTAACTGAAATTTAAGGATAATCATCAAAGATTCAGACAATGTGCCAGCGCGTAAAATAAAATATTTGTGTCTGTCTGGATACACACATCATGTTAATAAATCATTTTTTATGATTAAAGCGGTGCAGTGGTGGTGTCACCTGGGTTCGGCTGCAGATACTCGGTGGTTTTTGTCATGATGTCCAGCACGGCTCGAGAGGTGGTGTCCACCCTCTGCAAACCCAAACAGAAACAGGGAGAGAAAACCGGAGCGATGCCGAGCGGGTCAGAACACGCAGCTTCGCTTCGCAGATAGAAAACACACTTCAGCCGACATACTGACAGAAGACATGGTGAGATAAATGTACTGATGCTTTAGGAATTAAAAAAGTAAAAATCAACTAAATCTATAAGGGGACACATGATATTCATCATATTGTATAAACTTAAATGTATTTTTTTCTACATATTTTGTTTTTTCTCTATGAGATTTTGGGCAAAATAAGAAATATTTAGGAAAACGTTTGTCCATTCAAGACATAAAAATAATTTTAAAAAACCATTAAAACATCCTGAAACAACAATAATGATAATAATGAGCTGTGACATGCCTTTTCCATTTCAGTGAAGTCCACATCGAGCTTCGTTCCTTCTGCTCCTCCGACTTTCTCGCTCACTCTCTGCAAAACAAACAACAAGAAGCTGCTAGGCAAATAAACATACCGTGAAGATTTATTTAACATCTTTAAAACCAACATAAAACATTCAGGAACAATCAACAAATACAGTTTGGCAAAAGTACTACAAGAATTATAACATATTCTTCATGCTAATCTATTAAATAATTTGCAGCTAGATTATTTTGTTTTACTGTTTTAAGCTAACAGATCTATGGACCAATGCATCAACAAGCTGGAAGTAACGTCCTTTCTTGCAAAAAGCACAAATATAGAAATATTTATGATGGCGTATAAGGACCATTGTAGATGGAAAGAAAAAAACTTTTCTGCCAAGAAAATCTGAAATTTTGAGATTAATGTTGGAAATTTTCTATATAAAAAAATAAAGTTTCAGAGTTTGAAAAGTTGAAACCTTTCTAAGAAAAAAAATTAATCTCAGAAATTTTCTAGATTAAAAATTGACATTTTTGAGCTTGAAAAAAAATTAGATTGTCAGAAATTTTGTAGAAAAAACTTGGAAATGTCTGAGTTTCAAAAGTTGAAAATTTGCTAGAAAAAATAATTTAATTTTGAAATTGTCAAGTTTTCAAAAAAAAAAAACATGGACATTTCTGAGTTCAAATGTTGAACATTTTTGACTTTTGAAACTCAGAAATTTCCCTGTTTTTTCTAGAAAGTTTCTGAGCTATTTATTGGACGTCCACTCCTCTTTTTCTCTTTCTGCAGTGGCCCTGATACTCCGTTGTAAATATCTCCTCCTGCCTCCTCAATGTCATCTGGAAATCCTGCCAGAATCCTGCTCCTGGGTGTGATGCAGCTACACGCCTTTAGGGGGCAGCAGTGAGACACAAGGCTCACTGGCTGCGGGGAAATGTCACGCTGTATGACAGTAGAGATGGTGAGCGCCCGGACAGCAGAGGTTGTTTTTCTTAAATGAAGGACAGTTAAAGTCCTAAATGCGTCTTTGCTCCTTATTTCCTGTGAAATCGCCGTGACGACCCTAAATGGAGCGAATAAAACGGATCCTGCAGAGGTGGCAGAGCACAGAGGGATGATATGTGGCACAGAGAATTGGGGTTTTATTTTTTTAAGGACTAAGCTTGTGGCAGCAGTTTGTGCTTCGTAAGATTTTCTGTGAGTCATCCGAGTCTCTTTTGATCCCACATGTGAGAACGCCTAATAACCTGGCAGCCATGCAGAGCACAAGCACATCTACAGACTCAGAGGGAAGCTACACGTCCTGTCATTGATTTCTTTTTTTTTTTTACCACAGAGCCTGAACATGTTTGCCATGGAAACAGGTGAAGGTGCAATGTGAACGACTCTCCTGCTTCGCTTTGTCAGACCAGAGCAGCAGGAGATGCAGGATGTGAGCAAACGAAGCAGGTGAAGTCAAAATTACTCAGAAAAGGAACAAAAACTGAGACGTTGCTTTTAAAATAGAGCTCAAGGTAACAGAAACCTCTTCACCTTCAAAATAGGACTGTAAACAGTTAATCAATGCAATAAAGTGATTTCTCAGCAGACGATCGTTACCATTTTCTATAGCTCTAATCTTAAGTGCCATCTGAAAAGCATTTGTGCAAACTTTCATGCTTTTATTGCCTTCCAATCAATTCTAGCCATATTTATATTTTACACTAAACAAAGAAAATAATAATAATAATATGAAATAAAGGTAGACCAACAGATTTATGATCATATTTGAGTTAAAAATGGTTCTTGGTAATTTATTTGAACTCATCTTCTGGCCACATTGTTTTGGATTTACTGCCGTTTTTTCCTGAACTGCTCGACTCCTGGATGAAACATGAAGGAAGCAGCAGGTGAAATTATCTGGTTGCAGCAGCAGTAATGATTTGCATGCACAGATAAAATAGTTCATGATTTCTATGGAAATTAGGAGTCAGGCCAAGCCTCGCACTCAGCACTCGCAGATATTAATAAGACATCTGAGCTGATAACGCTCAGAGTGGCAGCATGAGAGGTTTTTATTTTGTCACGCTGAAATATTTAACCCTGCATAATGAAGCCATTGTTTTACATTTCTCTGACAGATGGAGCAGCTATTCTTTGGTCTGAGATTTTAAATGCTGTGCTCTGGAAATCTGAAGGAAAAAAAAACAACACATTTTCTCTGTGACATTTAGAAACTGTGAGCAGCAAATCCACATTTTCCACTCTGGGATTTTTGCTCGCCTGTTAATAAAAATAACTTCTTTGTCATATGTGCAGAAAAAACTGGGCAATTAAATAAATAAAACATCAGAAATTCAAATAAAAGCACAGCGACATGCATTGAAAACTACAAAAGTTTAAATCATCGGAGTTTAAAAGTCCGTTTTTCAGTCTGTTGGTCCTTTCTGTCACATTTCTGTAACATCTGTAGTTAATATTCACACCCTTAAAACTTTTTCCCATTTTGTCAAACAAACTCTGATGTATTTAACTAGGAGTTTATGTGATAAACCAACACACTATAGAAAATAGTTAAGAACTGGAAGGAGGCTCATGCATCAATTCCAACAATATTTCACAGAAAATCTGAAAAGTGTGGTGTGAATGTGTATTTAGCTCCTTGTTGTGGGAAACAGCAAACATGGCTTTGTTTGTGTCAACAGTGACTTTCATTTTACTGCAACCTGCAGATGTTTTTATTAAATGTTTCATCCTCTATATCAACAGGTTTTAAGTGATTTTTGTTATTGGATATTTTCCATTTTGCATTTTTAGTAGTTTGCAGTATTTCACTCTTTAACTGCAGTCATGCTTGGACATTAAGCATCATTTTGTATGTTTGAATGAATCCAAGCAGTTGCATTTGGAGTAAAGGATCCCAAGTCATAAAGAATAAAAGATAGCTTTAAATTCACCACTTTTTTTTCTAATCCCATGCATTTTTAATGCCACTTTCTTGAGGTTAACTGTTTACTGTGCTATATTAGAGGAGGTTGCTACATTAGTTGCGTTTTTAAAGAAAGGTTGCTACAATGACCCTCAGTTAGCAACATTTCTCCCACTTCTGTTTATTTGTGTTGTTTCTTTACAGTCTGACTCCAAACCACACAATGATTGATACTAATTGTTGTTATTCCTAATTTTGTTTAGAATAAACTATATGTATCCAATCCTTAATCGAGAAGTAAAGCCTGATTCCGTTCGAGTCTGAAACCGGATCAGAATCGGGAAATCTCTAATTAAACCTTTACTGTAATTAAAATTAAAGCAAATGCTGTGTGACAGCAGACAGTCAGTTTGTTATTTCCTCAGATAAATGAGTGAATAACAGCAGCGTCTGCAAGGAGCGACTCCTTCTGTAGTTTACAGAAGAAGAGCCGCTGAATGCATGTAAATAATCTGCTGATTATTTGGTCAGAGCGGCCCTCTGACCGAACCGCTCCGCCCGAACCGCTCCGATCGAACCGCTCCGACCGAACCGCTCCGACCGAACCGCTCCGACCGAACCCCTCCCACCGAACCGCTCCGTCCGAACCGCTCTGACCGAACCGCTCTGACTGAAAGCGTTGCTGCGTTGCATGGTGCTGCCCACAGCGCCTGCCAGCGCAGATTCGACCCCCAGACGGCGATTTAAGGTTGCGAACGTCACAGCCAATAAAGATTGATGATTAATATTCCATTATAAAGTCACACAGTAGAAAATAAACAGCAATGTTTTGGTGCAGTTAGCCTGACAGAGAGAAAAGTAAATAGGTTTTAATTTTTCAGTCATATGTTCACCATATAATTTATACATTTATAAATGTCATAGTTACAAACAAAATAGCTTGGACCTAAACTAAACGTTTATGTCTAAGCTAATTGTTAGCTTATTAGCTAATGTGCAAATTAGTTTGCCAATAAGCGGCAAGCTAAAAAAAATTGCAAACTAAATATTTAGCTTATTTAGTTTGTAAACTAAATGTTTAGCTTGGCTCTAAATATTTTGTTTCTTAAATAATGATTTAATTACTAACTAAATATTTAACTTCCTAACTATACATTTAATGTTCAAGCTAAATTAATTAATTAATTTAGTTTTGATCTAAATTAATTATATACAATTAAATGTTTATTTTAGAAATAAATACTTATTTTGTAACTAACATGTAGTCAAACTAAATATATGTAGGTAAATATTAAGTTTGCTAACTAAATATTTAGCTTCCTAAGTAAATGATCTGACAGCTAAATCTGTTGTTTGTAAGCTAAATATTTAGTTTGTAAGTTACATATTTATTGTGGAGCTAAATATTTCATTTACAAGTTAAATATTTAGTTCTGAAACTAAACATTTAACCTGCAAATTAAATATTTTGTTTGCAACTATAGGACATTTAGAAATGTATGAATTATATGGTGAAAATATGAAAAATGAACACCCAGTTTTATTCTCTATGACAGGCTTACAAAACCCAAAACAGTGATGTCTATTTTTCACTGTGACCTATAATATTCAGTCCCTTAAAGGCACAGGGGACTCGGTTAAAGCGTCTCACTCAGTAGCAGATCTGCTGCTGCGCAGCCATGATGCTAACGGCGCGGCGTCCACGTTCCTCTGGCTGAATCTGCTTTCCAGGGAAGGACACCACAAGGTGAAGCGAGCAGCAGAGATGGCAGAGTGAAGTGAACCTGAAGCAGATCAGCTGGCTGCAGGGAAATAACAGCAGTGGTGCAAAAGAGACGTCACAGCTCCCTGCATGACGGAGATAGACTCGTCTAATTAGCTCGTTTGAACAAAAATGATGGGGAGCGGGCGCCACATGGCTCGGTGGTAAAACAGCCGCGTTGTATGCAGAGACTACAGACCTTAACACAGTTCGATCACTGAACCTCATCTACGCTCTCTGTCCTTCTTCCTGTCAAGCTACTGTTGAATTGAAACCTTTAAAACATTATGAGTTGAGCTCAATAATCAGAGAGTAACAGAAATGCAAAAACAACAAATCCACCAAAAGAAACAAACTATGAAAACAAAAACATCTGCTTGAAGACCAAGTGTCATTGCTAAAGGACACAATTACATATTTGGGGAATGTGGGCTGTAATCATATGTTGCTAAGTTGAGTTTGCATGTTCTTCTTCTACTGCACATGCAGGATTTGAACAAAGTTCTTCAACAAATTCTCAAAATAAAAAGACACTGAGTGGTTTAAACACGTGATGAAACTGAACATGTTCTCCACTGCAACACAAATCTGATGCTGGTTGCAGCAGCGACTCAGGAATAATATTATCTAATCTAATGCAACACTATGGAAATGCTTCACCTCACTCAGCATGCTGAATGCTTGAACCATTAACTACTTTCTCATAAAACCAGCTAATAATTATCTGAGCTCTTTTGACCATTAACAGAGGATTGAAATTTTCTTCCCAGATTGCCGTTTGATCCATTAATCCATTGATCCATTAATACGATTTAAAAGCAAACAGGATGGTGACGCTCCAGATAAGTAACACACCCGGTAATGATGCAGCAGGACACTGTGAATTACACACCGTTGTTGTCAGTATAGATGAACTATTCTGCAGAGCAGCACATCAAAAGTAACCTTGAAGACATGGCAGGATTTCTGTTCTGACAACAAATATAATTTGTTGTAAATATACCAGATAAAATCGATCAGTCAATCAAAATTATTATCTTAAATGGTTGTAACTAAAGTACAGAAAAAGAAGTGTCTTCTCCAGGCAGGCTGTAGTCAACGTGCGCGCACACACACACACACACACACACACGGCTCTCACACTCCCCTGTTTGATTCTCACTGACGGGATATGAGTCACTGCTGCAGAAACTTCAGAAACTTTTGTCTGTTTAAAAGCGATATCTTCAGTCTGACGCACAATGAGCAATTTTAAAAATCACAAAGGGCTTCAAAATGTCATAATGTACAAAACTCAAGTCAAAAATGAGAAAATTAGCTCCACTCTGCGTCACATTTGTCCAGCAATGAATAGAAAACGAGTGTTGGTGCTAATTCTGCTGTTGGACTATAAAGGCAGGAAAAAATGCAATTTTCCACAAAATATTTTTGATATTCATGACATTTTCTGTCACTCTAATTCAAAATATGTTTAGCAATCCTTTCTAGGGTTGCAACTAACGATTATTTTAGTTATTGATTATTCTGATAATTAATTGACTATTTGGATTTTTAAAAATTGGCACATTCTGCTGATTTTTTGTGCCTTTTATATCATAAACAACAATAAAAAGTTACTTTTGAATGAGAAATTAAACATTTTACTACCTAAAATGCAAAGATGCAGCATTTCTGAGGTGAATGCCTGATCATTTGTAGCAACAGATGAATCTGCAGCTACAAAATACTTCTAATATCAAAAGTTTTTTATTATTATCTTAAATCCAAAATGCATTTTTGTACAGTTTTGGCCTAATTATTTCTCAAATTGTCCTGTTCTTTCAGCAAAAGGCATTTTTTAGAGTCTGTATACTCCCATCAATAATTAATCAATTATTTCAATAATAATAACCATTAATCCAATTAATCCAGTCCTAATTGTCACATCTAAAGATTTCTGTGGACTGTAATCTATAATCTCACTGTATGAATCCATATTAAATAATATTCTATTGTAAATATCAGCTCTTTGATTGAAAGATACAAAAATGGTCAACAAATTTGAACAAAAAGTGTTTTGCTTATTTTTCACACAAATTGTCAACTGACCAGCTAGTTCTGTTTGTATTTAATTCAATTATTTATTGTAGTGTCGTTTTTATTTAGTGTTTTTTTCTATAACATTTAATTTTCTCACGTATAAACGGATCTCTCCTGCCCTGAATCCCTCAGTAAATCGCCGTTTGGCTGGTATTTGTGTGCAGGTCTGTGGTATTTATTCAGCAGCGCCGGTTCACCTGCAGGCCGCCTTCAGGTATTTTCTCTGCAGGGACGGAGATCTGCCCACACAGCTTAATGGAAACACTCCTGGCACACGCAGCAGAAGAGTTTAAACTGCGACTCCTTCACACCTGTGTGAGACACGCTCTCATAATGCTATTAAAAGGCTGAGGCACAGTGTGACACACAGAGCATCTGCAGCTTAAGCTCAACTTCCGGAATAGATTATGCAGTTCACAGAACATGAAGCAACAATATAATATCTGCAGTGCATGAGCCCAGGGCCTGGTGTCTGCATCTGCTTTGGCATTTCTCTAAATTGCTTGAATAAAGTGAAACTGCGTGCAGCTTAATACTTTCAGCTTTGTTGATTTTTTTTTCCTTCCCTCTTTGGTTTTATTCTCTTAATTTGATCTTGGATGATTCAAAAGCAGCAAATATTGAAGATCAGAGTTGTTGCCTTCACACCAGTTTAAACATTCATAGGATTTCTATAATTATCCAAAAAAAAAGAAAGTAATCCTCCTCTAAATGCCTTTTAAAGATCGTCAGACCAAAATGCTACAAATGACTTTGTAGCATTTTGATACAGCGCCACCCTGTCATCTTCTACATGATCAGGTCTGTCGCAATCAGCAATTAATTAATCAATTAAGAGCATGATAAGTTGAAACAAACTCTATAAGAAACTGGATGATACAATCTTCAGCCTGATGTTTTAGTCTGAACCATCCCCTTTTTTTCTGAGGGACAATTTAGCTTACAGAGACATCATCATTTATTTTATTTGTTGTTTTATTTATTTTGCATATTTGAAACATCTTCCACTTTCAGTATTAAATGATCATCAAAATTTAAAGTTTATTGATCTTTGAGAATGTGTCGAGGATTATTATGCTATTGTCAACAACAATGTTATTGTTTACCGCAATAACTTCTGAACAAATTATGGTCATCATGACAGGCCTACCCACGTCCATTATTCAGTCTGCCCGGCCTTTTACTAGTCAGTAGTCAGAAAAGGGGAAGCTAACATCTCTGCAGACCACACACATCCTGGACACAAACTGTTTAGACCATCAAGTCGGCGCAGTAGACAGTTTCTTCCTCCACAGCGTCTCTCTGATGACAACCTCTTCTTCCTCTTTTATAAAAATACTTTCCATAAAAAAAAGTTTCATTTCCAACAATTATTTTTATACAATTCATAATTAAATGTCTTAATTGAGAACCAAGTGGAACCAAATTCAAATTTCCTGGCGATTAAAGCTGATTGTGGTTCTGACTCAGCAGAATTTTACCTCTGAATCTTATCAACTACATGCTGCAGGGCTGTTTTCAGTTTTTCATCATTTTCAGGTAAAAATCCTGAGAATTTGATTTGATCCCTCTGGTTCTGTGTCGCCTCTTGGCTGGACTTCTGTTATCGCTCCATCTGCAGTTTTCCTCTTATCTGCTTCCGTAGTTTGAGCAAACGTGCTGCTATCGTCACTTTAAAGACTGAACAGAGAAAAAACCTTTTAAAGACATCCAGCCTGCAGAACCTTAAAAGATGAAGAACATATGGCAGAATAAAACTCTTCATATCAGTGTAGAGACTGAATCGCTTCATGTCTCACTGTTTGTTTTCCTCTTTTAGAACATTTCAGCTAAAAACAAAGGATGAGCCATTTTAAAAGCAATACAGACATTTACAAATGGATCTACAGCAAAAACAAGCAGCACTGAAGCTATTCAGTCTCACCAGAAGCTTATATAATGTTTCACAGAACCAGCTTTTATTTTGAAAGTGCTCTTCATCTTATTGGCAAGTGAATTTGCATATTAGCTAAATATTTATCTCTGAGCTAGATATACATTTAGGTATCTTAGAAATAAATATTTAGTTTGGCGCTAAATATTTTTTTGCAAGATAAATATTAAGCTTTAAGCTAGATATTCAGTTAGCAAGCCAAATATTTAGGTAAAGCAACATATTTTGATTGAATCTAAATATTTTGTCACAGGCAAAATATTTTAATTACATCTCAATATTTGGAACTAAATATTTTGCTTGCTTATTGAATATTTAGTTTGAAATAATGACATTTCTAATTGAATGGATATGATGATGAAACATGATTTTGAAAAATGATCCATAACTTTTTTTCTCCACTGACAGATTAAATAACACAAATTATTGGTGTAGCTTTATAAATAGCTCCATGAATATCAGCTGTGGTCAAATGTGAAATGAACAGAATGTATAAGATGCTTTTCTAATTACACCTCAATGGTTTTTACGTTGACCTACGTTCACCCTCTCATTCCAACGCCTCGCTCACATCAGCAGTGAAACGACCACTTAGGAAAGACGTCGACCCACTGAGCTCATCAAATTAACCAGTTCATGAACATAATCTCTCAAAATGTTCTGCCTCACTGCATTTCACATGAATGTGTTTTCTATGAAAAACACCGTTTTAGCGTTAGCATTGGTCACATGGGGCCCAATGTGCATGAAGCCGCCGCCGCCTCCCACCGGCCCCTCCTCGTTTCCTGCTCACCCGTCTAATCCAGGCTGGTCACATGGAGGTCCCTGCCTTAAATACACTGACGGTGGAGGAGGGAGATTAAAAATGACAGGAGCGATTAGTGAGGCTGTCAGGAGGACAGCTCCTGCTGTTGGACAATAACCAGGAGGACCTGAAGCTCCTGAGAGCATCACGACAGCCTCAGTCCTGCTTCCTCCTGCTGCAGCACAATGTTCAGGGAAGGAATCTGGCTTTTATGGGATAAACCAACACAAAGTCCTGAAGGGCTGCATCTTTTTAAAATTAGTTTTACTTTACTAATTAAAATCTTAAGAGTGACTTTTTATTGTTCCTCTTTTAGTTATATGGCCATAATTAAAAGCCACTGTAACCGATGCAGATTAGCCTCACCTGAGTATTAAACACATGTTTTAATCTGAGTATAAATCCAGCTGTTCTCAGACTCTCACTCCTGTTACATTTACCCAAACCAGAGTGGGGTAGTAACTAGTTACATTTACTCAATTACATTTACTTGAGTAACTTTTCTGAAGAAAAAAAAAATAGAGTATTTTTACTATTCTTGACTTTTTACTTTTACTTTTGAGTACTTTTATTATGAAGTATTTCTATTCTTACCCGAGTAAAATTCCTGGATTCAGTCAGCACCTCTGTAAGTCCAATACACAATATTCTACTTACAATCTTTTAACTAAATTATAACTTTGTCTAGGAAAATATGTAATCTTATAACAAGTAGTATGTTGCACTTTGTTGATGTACATTTTAAAAATAATCTGTTAGTTTTCTTCAGCGAATGCGTAAATGAGCCAAAGGTTCTGCACAGATGGTGCCGTGACGGCGCTCAGTGTCTTATGTTGATTCCTTCAGTGGTTCTTGGTGCAGCGCCCCCACAGGTGAGGAGGGAAACAGGTTTTTCATTTAGTCTGGGTCATTTGACGCAGTACAGTGAGAAAACAAACTGAATCAGCTGAAAATGTAACAAATGTTATAACTTTGGTCTCAAATCGAACTGAATCTACGGGACATAATCTGTTGAAATGTGAAAACCTTTGAGGGAGTGAATACTTTAGCGAGGTAAAGCTGGTCTGTATCCATTCTCCACTGCTGAGCAACAGGTCTGACTGCGTTAAGACTGCCAGGGTTCAGCGGGGACCTCAGATACCCCGGATACGTCGGGACGTCCAGCACATTAAGCCCTTAATTAGCAGCAGAGCTGTAATCAGGCTGGCTGACCTGAGGACAGATCTGTCCACTGGACCAATCAAGAACCACTCCTGGTTACGCTGAAATGATCCCACTGCAGCTGGTTCAGGGTGGCGGTAATCCCACAGAACATGCAGCCCTAATCCAGGCAACAGGGGGATAAAATATAAACATCTGCCTTCATTTAGATCAGGGGTGTCCAGAGTGCAGGACAACGGCCGTATGTAGTCGCTGGCTAATTTTGTTCTTATGGAAAATGTGTTCATCTTTTTATTACCAGACGTTTTGCATAGCAAACAGCAACACATCTGTTTTAGTGACGTTTACTCAAGAGGACCAAAATCTGCTTTTTATTAAATTAAATTCATTAAACTTGGCTAAGTGCAACAAATTCTGACCCCCAAAGTGACAAGAATCCTGTTTTTATACCTGAGGCCACTAAAATTGCCCCCAATAATATGCAAGTTGTAAAATCCTCATTCTTATAAAATGTCGACTATTATTATTATTGTATGTTTTAGTTTATTTAATTTTTTTGTTTTAGAGCGGGTAAAATTAGATTTTAAATCGTTTTATGATTTTGGCCTGTATGACTAGAAAGTTTGGACTTCCCTGGTTTAGACATTTAGTTTGGTCATTTCTGCACAATGTTCAATAAATGTAGTTCAGACAAACTGGGCAAAATCTTACCAAGTACTTTTGGTTTAGTTTATAGTACAAATATCTTAAAACACTTGAAATAAGATAAAACTAGTCAATGATTCCTTAATATTGATGACAAAGTACTTATAACGACATTTTTCCATGTTAGAAGTGAAATAAACTCCCAATATTAAGGAATTATTGGCTTAAAACAAACATATTTCTTGCTGAAAAGNTGCTTGTAAGTGAGTTTTGTNTTATTTTGAGTGTGTTGAGATATTTGCACTAGAAACCAAACTACCAATCAGCATGGCCGTTCCTGTGGCCACGCTGCTTCACTAACCTCTATCCTCTTTGAGAGTATGGCTTGTGGCGATTATAATCTGATTTGTAAGCTTCTGCATGCTTCTTATGTAACAGCGGAGTAGAGTGTGTAGAGGGAGAGACGTTTCTGTGTGTGTGTGTGTGTGTGTGTGTGTGTGTGTGTATCCTTCGATGTAGAGCTCGGTAAACAGGGGGAGGACTGGCGGGCGGGGGGAGATGGGTGAGGACCAGCTGGCACTGCGAGCCCGAGGAAAACGTGCCGCAGTCTGAGAGCCGTGATGAGACAAAGATGGAGCAACTGAACACATAAAATGAATGATGATGAGGGAGATTAAATCCTTCATCATTATTCTGAATTATCTCTGTTTTCAGTGGCATGAATGAAGCTACTTAAAGGACCAAGAACATTAAATGTTTTCCATCCTGAACACCAACAGTTCCAGTCATTTTTATATAAGAACGTCTTTCACTGGGAGCACAAAGCTGAATTTACTGCGGATTTCCTCAAATATTTACACACAACCCGAGTAATATGTGGTTAAATATCAGATTTCTTTTTTTTATTTTTAATAAAAATACATTTTTGAACTTATCTATTTTTTAGTTCAAATCTAATTTAGTGTTTATAGCACCTTTCAGCAACAAGTCAAAGTGCTTCACATCATAAAAAGACAAAAAATACAAAGTAATAGAAACAGTCAACAACTGAAACAATGTTTCAACCTGATATAGTTACACATCAGATTAGTGATTATTTCTTTGTTTGTATTGTTTCAAAATCAACTCTAAACAGCTGTTTTACAGTTTTCTGGAAGTTTGTTCCAGATCTGTGGTGCATAGAAGCTGAATGCTGCTTCTCCATGTTTGGTTCTGGTTCTGGATGCAGAGCAGAACCAGAAGGCCTGAGAGGTCTGG